CAAGGTCTCGGGGCAGAAAGCTGCCGGACCTTTTTGCTCACACCTCTGGCGGGGCGAGGACCCTTTTTGATCATTTCCCTTCCCGGCCTCCCCCGCGCCCCGATAAGCAGCCGCAGAATCCCAACCTCTTCCTCAGCCAGCCTTGTCACCCCGTTACGCTTCCCCCGCACCGAGTGACAGATGCTTGAGCAGTGAGGTGGTAACCAGCGAAGTGCTGGCCCGTTGTGAGAGCTCTTTCAGCGAGACTTAGCGAAAATGCGAGAAAGGGCTGATAGCGCCGCCTGGCGCCTCGACTGATTCCCCCGTTTCATCTCTCCAGCTACATCAGGTCTGGCTGTAAAAGTAGACACGCGTTCGGCAGTTGGGTGGCGGCATCAGCTCGGTTCAGCCCAGATCAGTTGTGCTGCCTTGCGTTGCGTTCAGAATCCGAATTGTTCAACTGCTGAAATTCTCAAGCCGCACCTTATTCTCCGAGGTGCCTTATCTGCGGTTTGCTCCACGTACCAAGCTCTGCTTGGATTCCGCGCAGTATTGTTGCTTGCGCACTCGCAAGCCAATCTTAGCCACCTCAGTAACGCGTGCCTGTAACATTCTCTGAAACCACCATTCCGAGGCGCTCCTAGCGTTTTTCCTCGACTCCCGCAGCTTTCAAACCTACCGCCAGTCATGACGGGCCGCGCCAAATGCCTCCTCGCCGTCGCGCTGCTCCTCTCATCCACGTGGCAATGCCTCGCCGTCAAACGACGTAAGTCACGTCACGCCATCCCGCTTTCCTGCCTGAATCAGGTTTTAACCCTGATTTTCCGAGTATTTTCAGGAGAGCCTAGTATTTTCCAAGTCCTACTGCTCTCATTCACCGCATAATGCGACCCTCGTCATCCCCCCCTCCCCACCCCCTTGGCCACCCCTCGCTCCCTTCCGCTTTTCCCCATTGCGTACGCACGCTCGCAGCGCCCGCCCCCCCAGTCCACGTCACTCTACATCGTGCGCCTGCGCTCCGCCCTTCCGCTCGCCGCATATCGTGGCGGCATCGCGAGCTTCTCAGGATGGACGGAAGGCGACGACGACGATCATGCCACCGTCAGCTCTGCCGGTCCGTCAGGCCTGCGGGCGACGGACGCGACGGTGGCGTACGAGACGGCGGCGCTGGGCGGCAGCGTTCCGCGGCGCGCGCGGCTGAGTTTGGAAAATCCGCAGCTCAAGGCATACGCGGCCATGCTCGAGACGCAGCAGACGCGGGTCGCGTCTGACGTGGGCGTCGCGGCAGACAGCGTCGTGTACAGGTACGAGGGGAGGAGTGAGAACCATGTCAGCACTGCAATGCGAGGAAGGGGGGAGGGGGGGGGGGGGGGGGAGGTGTGGGGGCGTTTTGAAGCTACTATCCGCGCGCGCGCTTGAGAGCTGCTGGCACGAGTTTGAGGAGTCCGGCATTCAGCATCATGCCATCCTTGGCTCCCCTGCCGCATCGCCTATTGCATCCTCACCCCCATCCTCACCCCCATCCTCACCCCCAATCCTCGCCCCCATCCTCACCCGCCATACCCAATTTAACGGCCCATTGACTTCCCCATCCTCAAGCCTTCTGCATCACCTGCCCCTAACGCCCCCCCTCAAGCCCTCGAGATGTAAGCGTTGGAAATTCAGCCCCATCCCATGGCTCCCCTCTGGCATTGTCTCTTGCATCCATTCACAAGCGCCCCCTTGCCCTCCCCATCCCCATGCCTTCCCCTCATCTCCCCCAACCTCCCCCTCCTCCCCTCCCCCCTTCCCCAGCTACAAGCACGCGAGCCACGGGTTCGCCAGCAACCCTGTCTCTGCAGCAGGTGCGGCGCCTGCAACGGCACGCAGCCGTGGCGGCGGTGGAGCGCAGCCACACCGTGCGCCCGCTCACCATCGACTCGCCACCTTCCTCGGCATGCGCGCCGCCGGCTCCCTGTGGCCTGCGAATGGCGGGCAGGCGAAGGCGGGCGAGGGTATGGTGATCGGCATCGTGGACACGGGCATCTGGCCCGAGCACCCGTCTTTTAGTGCCACGGGCTTTTCCTCTGCCCGCCCCGCGGGTTGGTCGGGGAAGTGCGACACGACGAGCGAGTTCAAGTGCAACAACAAGATCATCGGCGCACGGGCGTTCTACAAGGCGTTCAAGAAAGCAAACGGCATGCCGGATCTAACCTCGGACTGGCTGTCACCACGGGATTCCGCCGGCCATGGCTCGTGGTGTGCCAGGTGCGTGGCTCTAGCTCCTGCAAAGAACCGGCCACTTTCCGCTTTGCAAATCTGCCCCTATCCGATCCGTCTCATGTATGTGCCGCTATTCGCGTCCGGGCTTCCATGTTCAGCTGTCCACGGCCCGTAGCAGCAGACCATCCAGCATCCCCTCTCACACCCCACCTATCCCTCCCTTCCCCTCTTCCCCCCCCCCCCAATTCCTTCCTCCCCCCATATCTTCCCCCTCATATAGCAGCAACGAGCAACAAGGAGCTACAGCAACCCCTCTCGCACCCCATGCCTCCCTCCCTACCCCCTCCCGCCCATCCCCCCCTTACAGCGCAGCAGCGGGCAACAAGGACATTCCGATGGAGGGCGGCAAAGCCAGCGGCATGGCGCCAGCAGCGCGCGTGGCGATGTACAAGGTGTTTTGGGTGTCCAAGGGCCAGATGTTCGGCGAGGGCGCCGACATCGTGGCCGCGGTGAACCAGGCTGTAGCGGACGGCGTGGATGTGATCTCGCTGTCGCTGGGCGGCATGGACCCCGCCGACACCTACTTCAGCCACATGCCGTACCTTGCTGCTAACCTGGTGCGTGTGCTGTGCCGACCTGGTGTCTGGGCTGCTGCTGGTTATTCTTGGCTGGGCACTCTCTGTGTGTGCACCGGGTGCGTGTGCTGCCAGCTGTGCTCCGCCCAATCTTTGTCGGCTCTTGTTGTCGTCTTCGCCCGCCTGCTGCGAAACCGGCGTCCGGTCAATTCCCAGCGTCTCTCCCACCCATCCACCAGGCTCTCGAGTCTCGTCACACCTCTCCCCCCCTCTGCTACCCGTGTGTCTCCCCTCCCCTCCCTGGCGGTGCAGGCGGGGGTGTTTGTGACATATGCAGCGGGGAACTCGGGGTCACCTGGCAGCGGGGGCTCAAACGACTACCGCTCGCTCGACAACTTCTCGCCCTTCTACCTCACCGTCGGCGCCAGGTGGCATCGTATCGTACCCTCCCATGCCACAAACGGGTGCAATCTCACCCTCCCATGCCACAAATGGGTGCAATCTCATCCTCCGGTGCCACAAACGGGTGCAATCTCACCCTCCCATGCCACAAACGGATGCAATCTCACCCTCCCATGCCAGTAACAGATGCATCTTGATTCGCTTGCACACCCTTTCCTCCTCTCTCCCTCTCTCTCTCGCCATATCTGCCCCTCTCATCATCCCTGCCCCTCTCATCATCCTTCGTCTCTCCTTTCATGCCCCTGTCTTTCACCCCACGATCCAACCGTGCAGCTCCATTGCCCGTGGCGGTGTAACCCTAAAGGCCACAGCAGCAGCAGCCACAGCTCTCGGCAACTCATCCACTGCCACCCCTGCAGCCACCCCTGTCCCCTGGATTGCCGATTTCTCCTCCACCGGACCCGTCCAGGACCCCTCCACCGACGCCACCAGCGCCCTGCCCACCAACAGCATCTTAAAGCCCGACATCATCGGCCCGGGAGTATCCCTGTACGCAGCGTGGCCGGGCACGAGCGTGGCGACAAGGGGACGGATGCGCAGCTGTCAGGGACGTCGATGGCGACGCCTCACCTGGCGGGCATTGCTGCTCTCATCATGCAGAAGTACCCCTCGTGGAGCCCCGCGCAGGTCATGTCCGCCATTATGACAACTGCCAGGACCACCGATACCAGTGGGGCTCCTATTCAGACTGCGTACGGAGAGGCCGCTACTCCATGGGACATGGGCGCCGGCCATGTGCTCCCTGCAAAGGTGCTGGATCCTGGGCTTACCTACGATGCACGGGCAGCGGCTTACCGGAATTTCCTTGCTGGGCAGAGTCTGAAGCGTGCGCAGAAAGAGTTTCCGAGCGCTAAGCTTATGAAGACAGCTCCCCGCATGCTGAACCGGCCAAGCATCTCAATCTCGCGACTGAAAGGGACGCTTACTGCAACCAGGATGGTTACAAGCGTTGCAGCCTCAAAAAAGCACGTACACAGCAAATATCAAACCCCCTACTGGCGTGTCAGTTACTGTGTCACCAACCAGCTTCACCATTTCTCCTGGTGAAAAGCTTACATATACTGTGACCTTCACGGTAACCAAGATATCCGAATACTTCCAGTTTGGAAGCCTAACTTGGGTGGATGATACGGGACACTCGGTAAGATCGGTGCTTGCAATTCAGCCGGTCATGAAGTAACGAGTGTGTGCACTAAATAATAGTAGCATCAGCCGCATCCTGTGCGCCAATGCTGTTATACGATTTGACATCTTATTCAGTGGATGAAGCGGTCGGGGTTGTGTGGTGTGATGTTTGCTGGGTTGCTTCTTTAGCATAGCATAGTTGGTTGCTGATAATAATGCTCTTGCATAAACATCTATGCATTCTAATGTTTCTCCATGTTATTTGATTATTGGACTTCACCATAAGTTTCACTTAGTTTCCCGCGTCGTCTCTCCGCAACGCATCTCGCCCCAACAAGTCAACCAGGCGACATGCGCCTCGACACCACAATTATTGGAATCCAGGGCGAATTTTGCTTGTCGTCCTCCCATCACAAGTAACGCCCTCCCCAGGTTTTCGAATCCCTCCCGTCAGCAGCAGCAGCAACCTGCTCAAAAACCGCGCCGCTAGTATCCTGCCCTGCAGGTGGTGGCAGCCCCACACCACACCTCACCCAATTCACCCCACAATTATTGTTGCGTTCTCTTCGTGCAGCGTATCTGCCAGAGAGATGGCCGCGCTGCGCGCCCCATCCATCACACATTCAAGTATATAAGCCGCACATCGTTGCATATCTCAGCGCACTCTGAAAAACACATTCCCTGGATCTACATCTACTAGGACGCTTCTGATTAGGCCAGAATCTTCTATCTTTCACCAAGAAGGCTGCCACAGTTCCTCGGTCCGCATCAGACGAGCCCGCAATCGCCCAACACGAATTCGCTCGTCACGAGCTCGCTCGCCGTGAAACACGGCGGACGGCACGATGGTTAGCGCCAAGCGCCTCCTCCTCTTCCTGTGGCTCCTCGCTGCCACGTGTCAATGCCTCTCTCTTCGACGTAAGTGCACGCACCGGCTTACCCGTGATCCAGCGCATGATTTTTGCACCGTACTGTGTTGGCCAGCCCGCTACCGACTGGGTTAAAAGGGCATGTATTTTGTGGTGGGTAGCGCACCCATTACCCCCCAGGCGAACCTGTAGCCCTCCCACACTCAACTAGGACGATCCCAGTGCCCTCCAACATACTGAACCGCACATCAACGGAATGCGCCGCAGATGGATGAAGCGCAACGGGCTTTATCACCTCAACCCCTTCTGTACGTGTCCCTTTTCCCCGCCCACAGATATTCCTCCCCACGACCCGGAAGCCACCGCCGCCGACGACGGGGTCTCTTCACTTGCTACTAACGTGGATGGCCCTCTGGACTCCACTACCGGGGATGATTCCGCCTCTAACGCGGATGTCCTCGCAGAGAACCCCCCTACCGCCGTTCCCGTCAATCCCGATGGCATCAGCAATCCTAACTTCTTCCCAGTTTCAAGCGAGTCTGGATCGGCCACCAGTAGCAGTGATAGCACTGCTCTTTACATCGTGCGACTGCATTCCGCGCTCCCGCTCGCTGCCTACCGCGGAGCCGTCGCCAGCTTCTCCGGCTGGGGTGACGACGACGCTGACGACGATACTCACGGCGGCACTTCCGTCCCGGCTGGACTAGCGGCGACGGCGGAGGCGGTGGACGAAGAGGCGACGGCGCTGGGCGGCAGAGTACCTCGGCGCGCGCGGCTGTGCGCGGACAACCCGCAGGTGGCGGCTTACGCGCAGATGCTCGAGTCGCAGCAGACGCAGATCGCGTCGGAAGTCGGCGTGGCGTCGACCAACGTGGCATACAGGTGAGAATTAAGAATCGCAGTGAATCCAGAGAGTACTTGGAATCAATCGGTCAATTAGCCCTCAGTTTCTAAATTAGGAACTCTCATTCCACTCTCATATCCACCGTGTGAGATGCGGTTTTAGGGTGCAGGGAATCATGTTTACGGCTCTGTTTTCGGCTAGGTTGGTTACGGGGATGAACAAGAGAAGGTCGCCCATGCTGTCGCTTACCCTGCCTCCCCGGGAGGCATTTCCAAAAAGAGAACCTTTCCCCATGCCGGCTGCCCGAACAGCAACGGCCCAATTTGTCTTGCTGCCTCTACAAATCCCCCCTTGATCCATCTCCCTCTTCCCCTCCCCCCGCCCCAGCTACAAGTACTCGACCAACGGCTTCGCGGCGGTGCTGACGGCGGACCAGCTGCGGCGGGTGAAGCGGCATCCCGCCGTGGCGTCGGTGCGGGCGAGCGCGCGGAAGCAGCTCTTCACGACGGATTCGCCCGCGTTCCTCGGAATGAACAGCGCCGGCTCGCTGTGGCCCGCGAATGGCGGGCAGGCGAAGGCGGGCGAGGGCATGGTGATCGGCATCGTTGACACGGGCATCTGGCCCGAGCACCCCTCTTTCAGCGACGCGGGGTTCTCGTCGTCGCGCCCCGCGGGTGGTCGGGGAAGTGCGAGACGACCAAGGAGTTTAAGTGCAACAACAAGCTGATCGGCGCGCGGGCGTTTTACCAGGGCTTTAAGAGCGCCAACGGGATGAATCTCGCCGGTGACTGGCTGTCTCCCCGCGACGCCAACGGCCACGGCACGTGGTGTGCGGGGTGAGTGGGCACAGCGCGGTCGTGACTTCAAGTTGGTACAACGGTTTCCTCTGCCCGACTCTTTAGAGCATTTGCCGTCCCTGCTGCCCCCACCTCAAGCTCCAAGGATCCTACTGCTTTCCGTTTCAACCGTCCCATATCTTCCGCTCCTCTTCCCCTCCCCCATGCATCCCTTCCCCTCCACCCATGCATCCCCCTCCCCCATGCATCCTTTCCCCTCCCCCATGCATCCTTTCCCCTCCACCCATGCATCCTTTCCCCTCCACCCATGCATCCTTTCCCCTACCCCCATGCATCCCTTCCCTTCCCCCCATGCATCCCCTGTGCAGCGCTGCAGCGGGCAACAGGGGCGTGCCCATGGCGGGCGGCAAGGCGAGTGGCATGGCGCCAGCAGCGCGCCTGGCGATGTACAAGGTGTTCTGGATGAACAAAGACGGCGACACGTTTGCAGACGAGTCAGACATCATCGCAGCCGTCAATCAGGCCGTGGCGGACGGCGTGGATGTGATCTCGCTGTCCCTGGGCGGCGTGAACCCGATGGACACCTACTTCGATGACATCGCTTTCCTCAACGCCAATCTCGTGCGCCTCTTGCCTCATTGCCTCTCGCCTCATTGCTTCTCGCCTCATTGCCTAAACCATGGTGCCCGCCCTTGCATTTCCCTCCACTGACCTTTGTTTCGCTCTCCTGCGTCTCAAACACTCGCTGAGCATCCGCCTTTTCACTATACTTCTTGTATTCCCTTCCTTCGGGCAATGCTGCTCTGAAGCAACGTATCAGCACCTATGACCGTCTCCCCTCCCTCCTCTCCTACCCTTCTTCACCTGCCCTTCTTCACCTGCCCTTCTTCACCTGCCCTTCTTCACCTGCCCTTTTCTCCTGCCCTTCTTTACCTGCCCTTCTTCACCTGCCCTTCTTCACCTGCCCTTTTTCTCCTGCCCTTCTTCACCTGCCCTTCTTCACCTGCCCTTCTTCACCTGCTCTTCTTCACCTGCCCTTCTTCACCTGCCCTTCTTCACCTGCCCTTCGTCACCTGCCCTTCTTCACCTGCCCTTCTTCACCTGCCCTTCTTCACCTGCCCTTCTTCACCTGCCCTTCTTCACCTGCCCTTCTTCACCTGCCCTTCTTCTCCTGCCCTTCTTCTCCTGCCCAGGCGGGAGTGTTTGTCGCCTTTGCGGCGGGCAATGACGGGCCGCCCCAGGGCTTCCGCACCCTTGACAACTACGCACCCTTCTATCTCACAGTGGGAGCCAGGTGAGCCGTCTGCCTCACAGTGGGAGCCAGGTGAGCCGTCTGCCTCACAGTGGGAGCCAGGTGAGCCTTCTGCCTCACAGTGGGAGCCAGGTGAGCCGTCTGCCTCCCTCCCTGTACCCCAAGGTGCCACCAAGCTTCCCCCATACGTCCTCAAGTCTCCCCCTCCCTCCATGTCTCTCCCTCCAGGTCCCTGCCCTTACCCATGTCCCTATGGCCCTGCCCACCTCCCCCTCGCCATGTCCTGCCCATCTCCCCTCTCGCCATGTCCCTGCCCTTCCACACGCATGACTCCTTCCCATGTCTCCTTGATCCCTCCCGTCCCGCCCATGTCTCTCTCCCCCACCCCCATGTCTCTCCCTCCCACCCCATGTCTCTCTCCCCACCCCATGTCTCCCTCCCCCACCCCCATGTCTCTCCTCCCCACCCCCATGTCTCTCCCTCCCCCACCCCCATGTCTCTCCCTCCCCACCCCCATGTCTCTCCCTCCCCCACCCCCATGTCTCTCCCTCCCCACCCCCATCTCCCTCCCCTCCCCCCCACCCCCATGTCTCTCCTTCCCCCACCCCCATGTCTCT